TGAAAAGTTAAATTAAAATTATTGTTTCGGCAATAGCTTAATAAGCTTCTTAACTGAATATTTTATAATTTATTAATGTTGTATAATATATATATATATATAATAGTTGATATTAATGATATATTAATGTTGATTATAATATTTATTTGGTCAGGTCACCTAATGGAGATCTACGTTCGGACGTTAGTAAATAGTGTCATGTGTTATTACTCTTTATCGCGCGGCCCGACGACCACGACGGACCGGAACCCGAAATTGCTATGTTCGCGTATTGCTAAGATATTGCTTGGCAAAAAAGAGAAATACCGCTCTGTGAAAACCAATACGAGAAAACTCTGTAATTGGTCTTTCACAGAATGGTATTCTCGTTATGCTGAGCAAAATCGACCAATACCTAGCAATTACGCGAACATAACAACCCGGGTCCGTTTCGGGTGGGTTGTTGGGCCGTGCGGTAAAGAGTAATAACATATGACACTATTTTACTGACGTCCGAACGTAGATCTCCATTAGGTGACCTGACCAAATAAAAGTTCTAATATAGAGAGTACAACGTGCAAATGGGTGAATAAACAAGTGGTAGCAACCGTGCGGCAAATTGTATTATTGTATAAATAAATGAAAAGCACGAACAAGAAGGTGTGGGACTATATTACTTTATATTATTAAGTCAATATAGATAATATTAAAAATAAAATGTTTTGGTGGCCAACGCATTAGAAAAGAACGAAAGATTTACATATAAATTATAAAAGTAATATGTATTTATATTTTTAATATTTAATTAATATTTATTTATATAATTTTTAAATATATCAATCATACTTAAATTATAGTTATATTGACCTTTGAATTTTGGATAAATAAAGGATAAGTCATCCCCATCTTTAGAAAGCTAAGAAGCTTTAGCATGTCGATGTGGCCATTAACTTTCACAAGTGGAAACTAGGATGAGGTTGTCTTGGATCTATTTATGTTTTGTTTAGAATAATTTTTTTATCGCTTTGTAAAATTGTTATAAGAAAGTAGCTTTTTAGAGCAAAATTTTTTGAAAGGCAACTAAAAACGTCGGCAAAAAGAAATTTTGGTTGAGATTTGAAATGCATAGCAATAAGAAAGTAGTCATACACAGAGCCTTAGACTTAGTTTGGGACGACTTTTTATTGCTCTTTAAAGCAGCTTTCTAGAATATAGATTTTAATTTTTGTAATAAAAAAATATTTAAGAATCAACAAAAGCTATCACAAACAAAACTAATCTCAATTTATGCAGTTAACAATGGCGGAGCATGATTTATCTGCGGGGACACAAAATGATTTTGGCTTTAAAAATACCTCAAACATTTTCATTTTATCTTAAAATTGACATTATGATTTAATTTTATTATTATTATTTTTAATTATAAGAAGATAGATTTCATGATAATGAAATTTTTTTTTTGCCATGCTCATCTAAATTAATTTCAACACAATTTTATTTAAATTATACATTATCAAACTAATCTAATTCACTACTCTTCTACCATATATTTTTATATCTAATGTAATTAAAAAATATCATTAAAAAATATTTAAGAGCAATAAATATATAAAAAACTACATCTTATTATAATAAAAAATATATTCAAAATATATTAAAATTTATTATAATAAATAATTAAATATATTTTAAGCTACTTGATTTAAATTTAAATATTATAATTCAACTCTAATGTAATTTGTTAATTTTAATTACATAAATCTCCTATAAACTAGAAGTTGGAGTTTTTAAAATAATAAAAAAATTTGATGAAAATTTTAATTAAAAAATTAGTAATGTAAAGATGGAGAGAGAAAAATAGTCTCATCATCATTGAGAGAGAGAGAGAGGCTATTGAAGGAAGTTACTAACTATAAAAACAAAATGTCAGAGAGAGAGAGAGAGAGAGAGAGATGAGAGAGATAAAAAGAGAGGATGAGACTGCTACTGTATAAAATCTTAATAAAATAAATTAAATATATTATTATTATTTGGCTTCCAATCATAATGTTTTTTTAAATAATTATTTTTTTATTATAAAACAACAATGACATCTCTTTGCACATGCCACAATAATAATAAAAAAAGTTAAAATTGTCATAAATTTTAATGAGTGAATAAGAAAAAAAAAAAAGAAAAAGAGAAGGATATCTCTGTTAAAAACAACAAAAATTTAAGTGCAACTAACGCCATTTGCATTTCACATGACCATATCTTAACCATCCAATAAAAAATAAAAAAAAAGGCAATAAATGAAATGAGAAGCCCCCATAAGAAACAAAATTGGTGAACTTCCTCCAAAGTATTGATCTCCTTCCAATACGAGTTGCAAAAAACAAAAGATTTTATACAGTAGCAGTCTCATCAGAAGCACGGATCTTGATGCAATTCAATGACAAGAAGCTTGATTCTGTGATGCAGAGTAAGAGTTTTGGGAGAAATTATTAGAAGTGCCAAAATGAAGATGCTTTCCATCAGCTATGTTTGTAAGTCTAAAGCCATGAAGTGGAAGCTGGTTGATGAGAAGAGTCTCTAATTGGCTTGCAATGCTCTTTCCTGGCACAGTAATATACAAAAATTCTGCATTTTGCAAGTATGACTTGGTCCGATGCGAGCGAACCCGGCCCAAGAGATCATCTGTCTGCATTACAAAGAGTCTTGTTAGATCCATAATCATAATTTTATACATGTTATGTGTTCTCTCTTAATATAGTCGAACTATCAGATAATACAAATACTACAACAACAACAACATCAAACCTTTGTCCCACTACGTGGGGTCGGCTACATGAATCCTTTTTCGTCATTGTGTCCTATTTGACTTTTAACAGGACACAATGACGAAAAAGGATTCATGTAGCTGATCCCACGTAGTGAGAAAATAGTTTGATGTTGTTGTTGTATTTGTATTATCTGATAGTTCGACCATATTAAGAGAGAACACATTAGATGTACAAAATTAGTCTCAACCTGATAAAGTTGTAACATAATTTTTTTTTTTTCAAAAATGATAGGATATTCACAATGCAAAAGACTTTGTGACCTGTCCAATGTATAGTTTATTGTCAGGTCTGAAGAGAACATAGACACAAGAGTTTCCCACTGTTGACGGAGGAGGCTGTTCTCTCGGTCCGATTTTAAAGCATGACAGTTCTAATAATTCTGATGTGCTTTTTTCCTTGTAAACTTCAATCAATTTCCTCTGGCAAATTATGGTTAGAGTATTTTCAACTTCTCTTTGCAACTCCTTCATCGTACCTGAAATTGTAGCTATACAATTAGTCTTCAAACTGTCATAGTTTAGAACAGATTCTTTCAAGTCAGGTTGAGACTTCAGATACACAGCCTCTGAAGAAGATTGCATTTCTCTTGATAGATACAATTCTTCAGCTCTTCTGACAATTGATTCAGGAAGGCCTTCCCGCTGGGCAGTTTCAAAGGCAAGGCTCTCTCTACAGACTCCATCAAACAACTTCCAGGTTGGCTTAATGTGGCCATCGACAATCTCAATTCCCATTTGTTTAAATATAACATTTTTAGTAGATAATGGCAGATAAAACAGGCCATGCAGATGGGTAGAAACAATACCCAAGCAGCCAATGGCATCAAGTTTCTCAACTATGCTGCCAGCTATGCAAGTTCCTTTTGCAGTCTCTGTACCCCTACAAATTTCATCCACAAGAACTAAACTTCTCTTGGTTGCTCCGGTTATCATACCACGCAGCTCTGCCATTTCAATCTGTCACCAAAAATCCTGTTAGATAGGCAGATTACATGATATTTATTAGGCAAAATACAGCAAGTTGAAAAAGATGTTTAAAAAATTGGAGCGTTTAGTTGGTTGGTTGCATTCCAAGTGTAAACACAAAGGTTTTGAAATTCGGGTGTTTGATTGGTTGGTTGTATTCCAAGTGTAAACACAAGGGTTTTGAAAATTCAGGCATTTGGATGGCAGCGTTTCAAATGCAATGTGCTTTGGGAATACATTTGGAAAATACCCTCTAGTTAATTTTGAGTGTATTTGGAATTCATCTATTTTGAAGAATTCCAAATACACAAACTTGAGTTAAATTGATGTCGTTTGAAAACGTCAGCCATCGCAATTTTCTGCCTGCTACCACTCCCATGCCAAACCTCATCGCCATCACCACCACCACCCGTTACTAGTTTCCAACACCCTTGCCCATCAAATCCCTTGTTGTTCACTGCCCTTTCCATCAAACACCACCGATCAACTATTATTCCATATGCACAACTATTTCACTTTGCATTCCCTCAAAAAAAAAAAAAAAAAAAACAAAAATAAAATCCTACATTTGTAGTGTACTCCATCAAATAACTCAAAAGTATTTTCAATACGCTACTTTTACACAGCACAATATTCCTTTTATGTTGCATTTATGTTTCATCAAACCAAATATCCCTTAGTGTATTTGCATATGCATTTACACGTTTTTTGTTGCACTTGCAAAATTACAAGATTTTCAGCATGCTTGCACACTTATTTATGTGACTATACGGTGTATTTACATGCTTTCAATGCACATATATGATGTGCTTGCACTTTTTTTGTGTGCATTTGCACACAACTTTGATGCTTCCCGAGTCGTGTTAAATTTAAATTCACTCTTGTTTTTAATCCGCATGGCATTCTCAGACTTGAGTTCGAGCATTTAACAGGTTCATTGGAGCACATGAAGTTATTTTGATTTGTGTTCCTACAAATTTTTCAATGCATGCATAGTTGCTTGTGGGTTTGGCAAACTGAGAGAGAAAGGAGGGTCAGTGCATGATATAGAGAGTAAGCGAGAGGTTTGTTTGAGAGGAAAATGGTAAAGATAGTACAATTTATGATTGAGGCTGGGGTTCAATCGAAGAGCATGATGTGTGGAAAAGATGCGAGCAGCAGTGGTGACTTTGTAGAGTACAAAGAGAGATGGAATGGAGGTGAGTGGAAGTGTCAATTTAGAAGGAGATGGAAGTTGCACCAACAATGCCTGCGTGCAGTGCAAGTGGGAGATTGATGCAGGTTGGGAGCTCATGAGGCTGAATAAGGTTTTTAGGGGAGAGAGAGGTTACAGGTTTCTTTTATGTTATTTTCTTTTTTTTTTTTGATAGACAGACACACAAGACAGGACTAGCTGAATGCAAGCGGAGGTATGATGCCGAACATAGAGTGCTTTTGGTGAGGAATTTGCCAGAGATTTTGAAAGATTTTTTTTTTAATTTGATTTAACTAATAGTAATATAAAAATATATAATTTTGATTTGCATTTTTTTAAAACAATTAATAAAAAGCAATTTTGAAACTCAGGACTTGTTGGCGAGATCTATTTCAGGAGATAAGCAATATTTTTTGAGTGATTTTCGATACAGTCAAGATATTCCAATCTAGACTCATGCCATACTACGCTCGTTATACATCGTTATCATTGCGTTCAGTCGACTAGGTTGTGGGTCCTTTCTTGATAACCTTGGCATTAGGGGCATCATTGTAGTCTGTTTTGCAAAATGAGTAATGATTGAATGAATTTCATACTTATAATATATTTCTAACTAGGCTAGTGTAATGCTGTATCCGTCGTCTATTGTTTTCTTCATATTCCCTAAGTCCATATGAAACATGAACAATTACATAAAATAAGAAAATGAAAGTAGCATAAGAACAGAAATAGCATTCTCTCAATAATTTAGTACCTGAAATGAACTTTTCCCATCAGCAGGACTATCATAGGGTTTCATATGTAGCATAACAGCATCAAAATGAGGAATAATAGCCGATTGTGCTGGAACCATGAGGCCACAGATCCCAAGTAATACAGAAGCACATACTGACCGAAGTAAACTGGATTTGCCGCCACCGTTTGGCCCCGTCAAAAGGAACATTGATTGCATTTTCACATCATTTTGTATAGCATTGCCTTGTGAAGCATCAAACCAGTAAGGTGACAAGCCCGTCAGTTCCATGTAACTAGTAGCTCCAGCTAAGGTTGTATCCTGCATGAATATGATTTCACGTAAATGGTTTATCAACAAGATCATTGACTTCAACAAAGTGAAAAATAAAACAGTAATCCATGCCCATAAATTATTTGTGGATATGCTAAAGCAAATGCACAAGTTAAAAATAAAACAGAAATCCTTACCCATAAATTATTTGTAGATATGCTAAAGCAAATACACCAGTAAATGTGCAAACAGGAATACTTGTTTTTTCTGATATTTTATATCCGGATCATATCCTAATTTTGCATGATTCTTCTGGTCATAATTGATGAGGACATCGAAGATCAACGGCTACGATTGTGTCTATTTATTTTCACGTATTTTATTTGTTATTTGTACTTTTCCATTTCTACCCTCACTTGAGGGCTTTGTTTTATGTTTGCCCTAGGGGCAATTGTGTATTTTATTTTCCCTCATGTATTTGGCTATTTAAGCCCTCCCCTTCCTCTTGGAAAGGGATGATGAATATTGATAATGAAAAGTTTTATGTTCTTGTTGATCTCTTAGTGAGTTCACGTGATCTCTTAGTGAGTTCATGAGAGGAGAAGCCCGAGGAGGGTAATTTGCAATACCCGTCAATCTTTGGAAGAGTCCGAGGTTTGCGGTTCCTACGATCTCTGTGAGAGTTCGTTAGTTATCTCTATCTTTCTCGTATTTTCTTGGTTATCTCCTTTCTCCCTTCTTCAAGCAACATTCCTCTTCTCCACCACAATCTCCCGCAAGCAACGACCAAGAGTTGGAAGAAGCTGAAGCTTCCACTAGTGCCGCCACCCTCGGAGCCCCATTCCGTCGGCCACCCTAGCTCCACCGGCCGGCCATCTTGCCGTTGGCCTCTCCCCTCTCCACCACTTCCCCCACGCCTCCCTTCCTTAGCCTTCCTTGGAATTTGAATTTCAAAATTCAAATTCATTCCAAATTTGGAGATTCCTAATTAGGAAAGTTCTTAAGTCCGCATTATGACGAAATTCAAATTCAAATGGACTTCATCATAAGCTTTCCTAACTCCCATGTGCTGATTTGGAAACCCCTCAATGGCTCCCACACTCTTCCCCTCTCTCCACATGCCGCCGGCCTCACCTTGGTTGGAGCCCCATTCAATTCCCAATTAATGCATTGATTACTCCTTAAATTTGAAATTAAAATTTCAAATTTAATACCCTCCAAATGCCTCATGGATTTTGAATTTCAAAATTCAAATTCCCCTTAATGACTTTCCTAAAATACCGTTATATTAATATGGAAACTTCTTGATTTGAATTCAAACTTATTTGAATTTCAAATTTAATCCCATATTAATGAATCCTATTTGGGAAACCCATTCAATCTCAAAAATCTGAATTTAATTCAGATTTAAGCCTATCATTAACTTGATTGCATGGGGACCACTATTGTTTTGGAATGACAAAATTCAATTCTCTCTTCCAAGTAATGCAAACGTGAGTCCCCAAAACTCTTTGCACGTGGCCCTCAACCTTCCCCTCATCTTCTACCTGCTGTCCACTCCTCATTCCAGCAAGTTCCCTTGCTAACCGGCACCTAGGAAAGCTGCAGGCTGCTGTCCAAGGTGTCCAGCAGCACCAAGAGTAGGCCGAATCCTGGCAGACCCGTATTGGGTGCTGTCCAGGACTTTCCACGAGTCCAGGCTGCTGTCCCAACTGTTGTGATTGCTGTCCAGAGGGCTCCGCACCTTTCCCTGGTTGCCCCATCAATTGGGGAGACTTCCAAGGGCTGTGAAGGAAGTTCAAATTGCTGTCCAGGCCGGAGAAAAGGGGCTCGACTGCTGTCCTACTGCAGAAACAATCATCACCGACATTGAAGTGTCGTGTCTTCTGTTTCTTGTGGGTAAACTCTTCTTCCAAACTCTCTTATCTTCCTAGTTTACTTTTCATTTATGGTTATTAATGGATTCATGAAGATCATGTCAATTATTCGCCGCTAGAACCTAGTAATAGGAAGAGTTGTGTGAGGGATCTTCTCATAGCAACTAATCTTATTGTTAGTATTGGAATTTCTCGTTGAAACCACTCATGTATGCAAAGTAAGACTTAGTTGACTATTTAATGATCTCAACCTCTCGCATGTGTTTAACCTAAGCTAAGTACCACTTAATATTTATCTTATCGTTCAATTCCGCATAAGATCTTACTTATTATTGCCTCTAGATCTAAGTGTGCAAACTTCCTTAAGCAAATCACTTTCGCATGATTTTGTTTCACATCAATATTATTTCTATGCTAAAGGTCAAGTCTTTTTATGAGACAGATGTTTTCTTAACAAGAAAATTTCGCTATGTTAATCTCAGTTTAACTACTAGCAAATTCTGGTTAATATCAACTGATAGGCAAAAACAATAACTAAAAGAATATGTATAAAGTTCATTTCTCGATAGTTTATAAGCAATTGAGACTTGGAAGTAGGGGTGTAAATAACTTGAGCTTGAGCGAGCACATTGTGTCTTCATACTCAGCTCATTCAAATTTGTGTGTGTATGTATTTGCCTCTTGTTCAAAATTATTCATTAACATTATTTTCATGTTTGGCCCATTATAATTTAAGTAAAACATGAGGCAATTTTGAAATAATAAAAATTTATAAATAATATGCCAAACATGATATAATTATTCTACTTATCTACTAAACTATTAATAAATCCAAAACATCAAGAACAAATAACTAGCCAAACATGATTGAACAAAGCTTAGTTTGTGTTTGACTTGCTACGAAAAATAGTTTAAAATACATGTTCAATAAATGTTTTTAAAACGGAACCGACTCGATCGAAAACCGATCGACTGGCCAATTTGGTCTTCTTGCATAACTGGATTTGCAGAAAACCGAAAGAAACCACCTCGAACTAGAGGTTCGATCGCTGAATCAACAAACCAGTACCGATTTTCAAAAATCTAGTAGTACCAAAAAAGACTTTTCATTTGAGATCAGCTTAAAAGTGAAAAAGATTTTTATAAAACATTAAAACCTTTCCTTCCTAAATCCTAATTTCTATTTCTCATCATTAGATATTGGTTCTTATTAGAAATGTTAATTCAATTTTTACTTTAAGTCTTTGTTTTAGGCTATTTTATCTTTTTGCCCCTTTTGATTGTCTATATAAATAGGGGTGACTTGCATTATTTGGAATAAATAAAAATCAATCCTGTTTTCTTCTAAAACTATGAGCTCTCCACTCCCTTTCTTTCCACATTTCCACCCTTTTCTCTCTCAGTGGAAGCAACAGGGAGCTGTTGGCTCTCGATCCAGGCAGGGAAGAGAGCCAACAATGGAGGTGCAGCTACAAAGGGGGACCGACGAGCAAGGAGATGGTGCGGTTGCATGGAGGAAAAGAAGGATCGCTAGTGATGGATTCTATTCAAACCACTCACGATTTGGATATTGTATTATTTGTTATTCCCTAAAAACATCAAACCTTCTTCCTTCTCTTCCAACTCTTCAAACCACTCACGATTTGAACACATGTGATAAGAGCATCCGTAATCAAGTATCCACACCTTGCTATGGTAAGTATCATTGTTTTAAATTGCGCAATATGAGGCTCGCCTTGAGGCCCGCCTTTGCGCAATTCCAGTAAAAAACGCCTCGATGCTTACGCCCGTTGATGTAGACAAAGGGGGGGTCAACACAAGTCCAAAATAAATCAAATTTTGGCTTCCCTTGAGTCTAGTAGTTCATCATATTTGAGCTAAACTTTTAGTTCATATATGAGCTGAACTTTAGTTCATTTATTGAACTAAGGTTAGCTCATTATGAGCTAACAATTTTAGTTCATATTTATCTTTATTTAAATGCACTTTTATTATAGTTTTTAATGTCTTAAAAGTTGTCTCTTGGATTTCCAAAATATGGCTTTTGGGAATCCAAGATAGTTGTTTAGTCTTCCCATGTGTGGCTCCTTGAATTCCACCATGGGAAGTTGAATTTTGTGTATGCCTCTTGGGAACTCACGGCTGGCTCCTTCTTCTGTGCGGTTCCTTCATTTCCCGTGGCTGTGGCTCTCGGTCCGTGCGGTTCCCTTCGTCTCCCGTGGCTGTCTCCTTGGTTCCTGGTTTGGGTGTAAACCGAGAGCTTGGGGGGGAGATTTCTATGCTTTTTAATGCTTTGAATTATGTGTTAATTAAATGTTTGTGTCCTTTTGTATTCTCCTTTCATACCTATAAATATGAGGGGATATGTAATGTTTTGAATAGTTGAATGAAATGTGATTTTTGGAAAATCTGTTAACCTGCGGGTTGCTCGGAAATCCTGCGGGCTCTTTCCAACCTTCTTTTCTCATCCCCTCCGGAAATCCTGTGGGCTCTTTCCACCCTTTCTTCTCGGGCTTCTAATCTCTTCGTCTCTCCGCAAGTGCCACTCCATCTGTATCTTTCTTCTCTAAGTGCAGCAACTTTAGGGTGTCTGTCGTGTTGGTTGCAAGTCGTCGTTGTAATTTCTTCTTTTTATTTTTATTTGAAATATAAGAGTTTGTTCTTCCCTTTTCTCTTTCTTTTCTCATTTTTGTCGTTAGAAGTCCGTCGTGTCTTTTGTGGGTGAAGGGTATAGGCTCCCTATATCTTTTTGCCTGCATCACCCGTCTTGAGGCCCGCCTCGCCTCACGCTATATATATTAAAACTTACATAAATCTTGAAGTAAATGCCCGACATTGGACTTTATAGGAGAGGAGGACAGGGAGAGAGCAGATCATCATAATGATGATTCAAATGAAGAACCCCTTAGTGTTGATAATGTTCATGATTTATGAGTTCTTATGCGATATGCCATTGCTATTTGTTTTTGGAAATTGGAATTATATGTTAATGAAAAGAATACTGGGATTTGGGAAAGATAGAATTTCGAGTTGAATTATATTTCATGTTGTCTTATTATTGGGATATTTTGATTTCACTTCATATCTTATGCTTTTTTATGTTTTATATTATTCACTCATTAGTATATCAAAAATTTATCATTTTATGTTTACGCAATCTTTTGATTTTGAGGCTTACGCCTCAAAACGCCTTGAGGCTTACGCCTCGCCTCACAAATGAAAAACGCCTCAATACCCGAATACGCAATTTTAAACATTGGTAAGTATTTGAGATTACAAAGACATTTGAACTTTCATAGCCTTCCTCCACACATGAGGCATCTCCACTACTTTTTTTCGTTGTCTTGATGTTTGTTCTTCAATTCCGAGCATAAACTCTTAAAGCGTTCTTCCTTGTGACGAAAGCACTTCACCTTGCCTTCAAAAAAGTTGTTATCCACAAGAAAAACAACTAAGTTGCTGTCCATAGAAACTAGTCCAGTTTCTATCCACAAAAAAAACAATCCATAAATGGCTTCCACCACCAATCACCTGCTCTCCTCCACCTACTATCCACAAAGAGCAGCCCAGGAAAGACTTCCACTGCCAGTCACCTACTCTCCTCCACCTGCTATCCACAAAGAACAACCCAGGTCACCTGCTGTCCACAAAGAACAGCCAAGAGAATCTTCCACCATCGGTCACCTTCTATTCCACCTGCTGTCCACAAAGAACAACCAAGAGAATCTTCCACCGCCGGTCACCTCTTCCACATGTTATCCACAAAGAACAGCCAAGAAACTCCACCTCTTAGTTAGAATTTCCTTTTCTTGATTCCAAGAAACACCTTCCGCCTTTCCATTGATCTTTCTTGACCAAACTTTGATACCAAGTATTGAAAAACAAACCTAGAAGGAAGGATCTTGAATTCCTGCACCCGCTGGTCCAACAACAATACCTTGCTCTCCTCCCCGACTGTCATCCTTTGGCAGCTGCACCTCCACCACAACCTTGTTTCCCTGCCTGGAACGAGAGCCAACAGTTCTCTGCAGCCCATTGCCGGTTTTGCCTACTTCTTCCATGCTTGGACTGAGAGCCAAGTTTAGAAACAACCAGTACTGAGCATCTAAATAAAGGTCCATACAGAATATGGCAGAGTGATACATAGAGACGTGCAACTAACTCAATGCTTGCGTTTAATGCAAAAGATTTGGCCATACATCTCATAGAACAAATCATCAAACGAAGTTTCAAATGATTGAAATTTGTTAAGGAGACTATAATTTCACAATTTCAAATGATTGGATTCTGACAAATAGCAGCTCTATTTTTCCAGCCTCATAACGGCAGGTATTAAAACTATAATCAAGAACCAAAAAGGAGATCAAAATAAATGAAAGGTTATACATTAAGGATCATTATCAGGGGAAAAAACTAAAAAATTATGAAGATCTCGAAAAATGACACAAAGGGGAATTGCCTTATAGATTTAGGATAGGTAAGTGCAACAAATCTATTCCAAAATCCAAAATCAATGGAGAAGTGGTAGTTGAGCATAACATCCATGGTGGGGCAAAACCTATGAAGGAAAGACAAGGACATGGAAAACAAAATATGATTATCTGAGCATAACTAAGTAGACTTAACACACTTAATGTTATGGTCATCTATAAAATTAAGACTAATGTACTCGTTAATGATATCTTCACTTTCATCGGCCAAAAACTCAAGTCCAATGGATGGCACGTCAAAAGAGATTAACAACTTGAAGAATTCTAATGTCATCCTCATAACCACTTCTTTAATTTGATTTGAAATATAAAACTTATCAATATATGCTCCTTCACTATGGATGGCCTTCATAAGCATAAGCCTAGATTCTAAAACTCTCTATGAAATTAAAAAGAGGTCTTCCTTGTGCATCATTCCAACCATCATAAAAAATTGTAACTCTTTTCATCCCAAATATCTTTAATTGGCTCAAGCATTCCTTCAACATTGACTCTTTTCTTTTGAAGTAGTATGCTCATCAAAAGATTATAACCCAGAAGAATATATCCACCGAGCGGTATTGACTAAAAATGAAAAAAAGTACTAAAATTAATATGAAGTCCTTGCTAAATCAAATGTAAGGATTGCTGAATAGAAAATGCGAGCGTTATTTCTTCATGCAAACGATCTCTAGTTTAAAAATCAAATGGATTTTCAGTGGCTATATTTGATCTATATATTATCATCTTTTGATGATCAAACCCACCACTCTAAATAATATTTAACTTATGTATGAAATAGCATATTAATTGGAGCCACTTTCCCAAAGGAAGGGGAATCATCTTAAATGAGAAGCTTTTCCTTTGCTCAAGATCTGCATCTACCTTTTGCAATTCTTGAAGTTGTATGAATATTTAGAGTCATAGTCAAATGCTCGTCTACCATATTAAGGATTTCAATATATTTTTTCCATTGCCATTGGTTGGATCTAAATTTCAAAAACTTCATAAAAAAAAAGATAAAAGTCGGATTCAGGAAGAGAACCTTCATGAAATGAGATGACAGACAAAAATGTAAAATAGAGGAAACCACAAATCTAAGGAGAAAAAATGAAGAAAAGCTGGATGAAAAAAGTAAGCAAAGTTATTGACAAAACTTGGCTAACTGGCAAAAAGATGAGCCCATGGCACAAAGAAGAGGCTAAGGATTGTCGTCAATTCATGCAGAGAAGAGACAACACGAGCAAAGAAAGCCATGAGATATGTTCATTGCAGTCTGCTCGTGGAAGTTGAGGCATAGGTGACCATCAAAGTCGATAATCTTTCACTATTTTCCACTCATGCAAGAGGACATGAAGAGATGGCTTGGGCATGATGCAAGAGACTTCAACATAGGGTGATCAGGACGCTATTTCTCTCGTGTGCAATTATGTTTTCTATTCCAATCTATTTCAGTTGCATTTTAACATGCCTTCAGATGTCAGGTGGTGTTTGCATCATGTAGACCTGTGCCCAGTCTGTGTCAAAACCCGATTTTTTTCTTAAATGACATTGGTACAATTTTGAAAGTTTTAAAAATGTTCAAAGCATGTTGAAACCATGTTTGTGTCCGACATGAATGTGGGAATGATTTAGAAATGTCCCCACTTCATAGGGTAAACTATAATATAAATCCACCAAAATGAATCTCCTATACTATTTTAAACCTTTCAATCAAACCATCAGACCAATTAATAAATCATTAAAATACACAAGCCAAATGACTTCATAGATGAAGTACACCTCCTGCGAACTGATTCTAGCAAAATGGTTCTAATAAAATCAGCAAGTTCAATAATTATCACTTCCCTCCTTTTTGTTTGACTTAAAAATTGGGGAATTTAACTTGAAGTCCTGTGATTGACCACAAATGTTTTTAGTGCATTGACTAAAAAAGTAATTATTTTTGTATCACCACAAGATGGAGATGAGATTTAAATAAGATCACCAATGATAATGCAATAAGAACATGTTATTTGCATAGTTCTAGTTGGCTGTAAACATGATGCAGATGCCAGCAAACTAATCTGCCAACACACGTTATTGTCGGTATTGGTGATGCAGGGCATATTTATATTTGTGAGAAGAAGAATCAAGCAAATTATACATCAACATAACAAATAAATCTCTTCAACAAATGCTCTAAAAAGGGTTTCATATTACCTCAGGTTTGTAGCCTTCATATAGGTCAGGAAACACCCATTTCCTTCTCAGGCCCTCGCTTAAAGAAAAAAAAAGTACAATCAAACAAAAGGCTTCAATTTGCTAGAATTCAAAATCAACCAAAATCCATGTAAAAAAAGATAGATCGAATGAGAAAATAACATTGTTTAATATAGTACGATGACTAAAATAATAGTACAGCATATCAAACTTAATGAGGAGCAATTTTAAATGCCACTTTACATAGAAGAAAACATGAATAATAAAACAAATTGCGTATTTCATACACACACACAGCAGATTATTACAAGGTTAAAAACTGAAGTAGAACAAAAGTTTGGGTAACAATATCTCCCATTTGTTTGAAGCTGGAAATATGAGTAATGATATTTGATGGCATTTCATCCCGAATGAGGTGGCACTCAACCTCAATATATATATATATATATATATATATATTTTCATGGAATATGGAATTATTAGCAATGTAGAGGATAGCACAATTGTCACAAGTTAAAGATCTTGGTTATGTAGCTGAAAATTCTAATTCCCTTAATAAGGTCATAGGTCACATAATTTCACTTGTAGTGTGATTTCTAGTTCTATATTCTGCTTCGGTGCTTAATGGGACCACCATTGTTTATTCCTTATTCTTTCATTTGACCAAATTCCCTTTCATAAGTATGTGATAACCATACTGAAATATTATATTATCTACTAGTCTCGCATAGCCAGCATAAAAAAAAGCTTCCACATTAATGTGCTACTTCTTAGAGTATTGTAAAATCCTTGCCTATTAACTTCTTTACATACCCAAATAAATCAAGAATAACTTCCCAATATTTCAATTTGAGAGTTTAACTCACATCACTTATGGCAAAGGAGAGTCCAAAGACAATAACTCAAACCAATTTACGAAATAAATAATATAAGAAGAGACATCCTCACAATACGATCAAGATTCCGTAATTCTATCATCCCATGTTATTATGGATCCTATTCTACATAATAAGTAGGCAGCCGACCCAACTTGATCAAAGGATCCTTAGCGACAGCCGTGAATTGCATCATCCAAAGAAAACTAGCAAAATTAGGGAGAATATTTCTCTAAGGGTATAATTTAAAGCTGACCTCTATTAACAGAGAGCTTGTTGCCCCATTAAATACACCATATACCATATTGCGATGAACCTTGTCAAAAGGCCTCAATTATAAACATAATTTAGTGGTGTCAATTTATAACAAAACCATCTGATCATTGGACAAAATCACGTCCTTAGTAGTGTAAAATATTTTGAGAGGAATTACAAGGATGTGTTGGACAAGATATTGGCTCTTTGTGAGCATAACTTAATCTCAAATTTGATAGCCCCATCAAACGATTGCAAAGAGTAGCTAGATTATTTTTTTAAGCTTTAATCCAATAAATTTCACTTAATCATTTCTACATTTTCATAATTTTTTAAGATTTTATATTTTCTTGATATTTAAGTCAAAATGAGTTAAATTTAAAGGCAATTTGATAATAGAGTCCCCTCTGATTGAGATTCTTAGTCAATATGATCATTATCATAGTGGAGTCATTTGCATCGTTTGTATTTAGATTTGAAAGCCTAATTTTTTTAAAAAAATGGACCCCTTTTGATGTAGAACAAAAAAAAAAAGATTGGTCTTGAAGAGCAAATCAAGGGGTCTAAACAGCAACTTTGACTCTTAGAAAATTCTGGACAGCAATCTCCAATGCTTGAATAAACCTTGGGCAGCTGTTATAAGGCTGCTGGAGGCTTTTGAACAGCAATTTCAGACCTCCCGGGGTGCAGGACAGCAGTTGGTGGCTGCAGGAATCTGTGGACAGCACACAGGATACAACAGGAAGTGCTGGGCAGCAATTTGCTGTAGTAAAAACAGCAACTGGGAAGCTTCAGGTTGCTGTTGAAATCACTGGACAGCAATGCCGAACTTCTGGCCAGCAGGTATTGCTTCTGGCGAACTATGGACAGCAGGTAGACGGTCTTCCTGGACAGCTTCTTTACGGATTTGAGCCCTCCTATATAGAGGACAACAAGCTGAATTGGAAGAAAACTCTATAACAGCCTTAGAACTCTCTGGACAGCAACATAAATCCAGCAGGGGCTCAGCTTCAGCAGTCACGGGAAAAGCCTTTGGAGCCAGTGGATGGCGGGAGTTTGAAATCCTTTCTTACTAATTATTCTCTGGATGGAAAGTAATTAATGGAGAGAGGCTGCAAGAGGAGGGGCGGCGGTAAGGAAAAGCCTTGATTTAAATCTTCTGATGGGGATATTCCTTTTAGGAACAAATTAAACATATAGTCATGCAGATTTCGGCCAAGGGAGAAAGCCAGAAGATTTGGAATTATTTCCTAAGGAAGAGCTTGGGTTTAGGAAATAATTTAAAGAGGGGTTTAATGAGGTGATTTAAAGCTCTTTGATTTGAATTTAGGAAATTTTAAAATCTGAAATTTAATTTCAGTTTTGATTGAAATTGGGGGGAAATTTAATTTGAAAATTGATTTCAAATTAAGAGGCCATTAATGCATTAATAGGGGAATTAATGATTTGGGTTTAGAATTTAGAAAAGAACTAATTAAGTCCCTTTTGAATTTGAAATTCAAATAGGATGAAAATTTGCCCTTCTCCAAGGGACTTCACGTCCCGAGCCCCGGACCCACCTGCGGCTGGTGATACTCTCGATTTCTCTCATAGAAATCTCAGCTCTCGTCCTCTTCTCAAGAAGAACACAAGTGTGGAAAATAACAAAAGTTTTCATATCCAAATTAACCATTCTCTATTACAATAAGTTTAAGGCCCTATATATAGACAAGTTGGCTCAATGAGAAAATCAAAATTACAAAAATGCCCCTTGGGCCACCACACTCCAAATAACTAACCTACGGGCAAAAACATAAATAACATAAAATAAAAAAGCTAACTTCATAAATTAAAAATCAATTAAATGACAACATAAATTAGAGCGTCGATTTAACGACGCCTCGTGTGATAGATGCGCCAAATCATGTTGCTGATGTCCGCATCAACCTATTGTGTTTGTAGATATGCAATGAACATGCCATTATATATGTAGTATTTTTGATATTATTCTTTGTTATTTTAAATCTATTTTGATGATTGTTACTTTTATTCATGTTTAACATTTGCTCAAGCTCTGGTTTGTTTGCCACAAAAGATTGGATTCATGCTTGCGTATCATTCAATTAGTCTAAACATTTTGCAAAGTGATTACCAGGGATTGCACAAGTCTTGTCGACCTCTATTCTTGTAAGGAGAACGATCTAACTTGACATGTAAGACTAATAGATGCCCTATAAAAAGCGACACACTTGGTGAGACCAGTGCAATGATGAAGTTTGATTTTTAAAAATAATGCATAGATTGGCATGACACTTTTTTTAGGGCAATTGGCAATGCTTTTCCAAAGCAGGACAAATTTGAATTCAATTTATTTAACCATCTACACACATTCTTAAACGTTTTAAGTTTACTGTGTTCAACAGTTTGTCAAAGCACATACAGATGATTTATATGAGAAGGAGGAAGCAGAAGAAAAAAAAGAAATGAGCAGGAACAAAATAGAAAGATAAAATTTGAGGATTTGATTTTAAGAATTTATTTTTCATATTTCTTCCCCAAATTAAGTTTGGGATTTCAATTATATAAGATGAAATCTTTGATGAGAAGATTAATTTGAGGAGAAAATTATTATTTTGATATGATATAATTAATTTAGCTTCAATGTGAAACACACAACAACAACCAACATTAACCTGTTATCCAAACCACGTTGGGTCGGTATATGCATCCTTTTTCTCCATTGTGCCAATGTTAAGGAGTCAAATTGCTCATTTCGATTAATAAAGAAAGGTCATTTCTAATATTCCGTAACCAAATCTTTTTAAGGTCTACCTCTACTTTCTTAACATAGATCAAATCTAACACATCTACTCTCCTAACCCATTCATTGAAAGGCCGCCGTTTATGTGACTCAAAACCATCTAAGGCGGCTCTCTCTAATCTTATCTTCCACTGAGAGCTAGCCCCAACCTTTCACGGTAATCATGCTCGTTTTGTATCCTTGTCTCTATGAAGTAGAAGCCACATAATTCTTCTAAGCATCCTCATCTCTACAATACTTCCTTTAATATTAATGGCTTCTCTTTAATGGCCTATCTCGCAACCATAAAACATTGCAGGTTCTAAACGACTATCTTATAGGATTTTCCCTTAAGTGTGAGTGCGTACCAATGAAATTGCGTATTCGGGTATTGAGGCGTTTTTCAATATCGTGAGGGCGAGGCGTAAGCCTCACGTTATTGAGGCGTAAGCCTCAAAATCAAAGGATTGCGTAAACATAAAATGATAAATTTAGTTATTACTAATGAGTGATAATATAAATACATAAAAAAACATAATATATGAAAGAAATTCAAAATATGTCCAAATAAAGACAACATGACAATATAGTTAACTCAAAATTTTATCTTTCCCAAATCCAATATTCTTTTCATTAACATATAATTCAAATTTTCAAAAACTAAATAGCAATGATTAATATATACCATAAGACATATAAGTCATTAACACTGTCAACACTAAGGGGGTTCTTCATTTGAATCATCATTATGATGAACTGCTCTCCATCCCCTTCTTCCTCTCCTATAGAGCAGTCCAATGTCGGACATTACTTCAAGATTTATGTAAGTTTATAATATGATTATTGCGTGAGGCGAACCTCCATGCCAGTGAAGGCGAGAGGGGCCTCACCAAGTTGAGGGCGCAAGCCTCATAAAAAAAAAAATCGAGGCGTTTTATGTGGATTGCGCAAAGGCGGGCCTCAAGGTGAGCCTCATATTGCGCAATTTTAAACCATGAGGGGTACTTTTCTAATCACACCAACAAGCCGATGCATTCCTCGCACTTTAACATTCCAACTTCGAATTCACTTAATAATATTCCCCATCTATTTACCATTCACTCTAAACAATAGAGACCCAATATCTAAAAACGTGTCTTTTATTATGAC